AAGTTGCATGTGTTTTAGTACTAGAGTTGACATGTTCTCACATCTGGTAGAAGCAACCCTAGAATTTCTGAAACTGCTACAGTTGCATAGCTCTTTTTTACCAGAGTTGCTTCAAAAATGAACATAGTTGCTTCAGTTAATTGTTCGAGTTGTCAGGTTACTTTTTTTCCTGATCAGGGTTTTCTCATGAACCCCAAGCACCTTATAATAGGATAGGAAATAAAGCCAAGCAAGTTTCGTGTTGCAATGCACCTGCACAAACGCAATGGTCCTGCATTTTTCTTTCCCACTAGAGTTGCTCTTTTTTTTGTACTGGTGTTGCTTTTTTGTATCATAACAGTTGCTCAAGATGCGTACTGGTGTTCCCACTATAGTTGCTTTTTTCACGAGATCAAAACAACGAAGTAAAATCTGGACTAGTTGATGTTCAAGCAGGGTTGGTTGAGTAGGGAAGTTGCATGTGTTTTAGTACTAGAGTTGACATGTTCTCACGTCTGGTAGAGGCAACTCTAGAATTTCTAAACAGCTACGGTTGAACAGCTTTTTTTTACCAGAGTTGCTTCAAAAATGAACATAGTTGCTTCAGTTAATTGTTCGAGTTGTCGGGTTACCTTCCCTGATTCAGGGTTGCTCATGAACCCCAAGCACCTTATAATAGGATAGGAAAGAAAGCCAAGCAGGTTTCATGTTGCAATGCACCTGCACAAACGCAATGGTCCTGCATTTTCTTTCCCACTAGAGTTGCTCTATTTTTGTACTGGTGTTGCTTATTTTGTATCATAATAGTTGCTCAAGATGTGTACCAGTGTTCCCACTATAGTTTCTTTTTTCACGAGATCAAAAGAACGAACTAGAAACTGGACTAGTTGATGTTCAAGCAGGGAAGGGGCAGCGGTGGTTGAGTAGGGAAGAGAGAGGAGTCGGGTGGAGGTGGTGCTTACCTTTTTAGGGGCAGGTAGGTCTAGTTTTTTTTTCTCCAGATCTGATTTTTTGAGTAAGGAGGAGGAAGGAGGTGTTCCTGCGTCGACTTTGTTCTTCAAGACGCCATAGATGGGGCAGATCTTGTTCCGATGTTGTTTAGAGGAGGAAAGGCAGGAGCAAGGAGGAAGAAGGGGACCCGTGCGTGGGCTTGTCCTTCAAGAAAAAGGAGGAGGGGGTTGCGTGAGGCGTCCGCAAGGGGGAGCGTGGGTGGGGGTGGGGACCGAAGCCTGGGGGACGACGGGTGCGAGGAAGCGAGGGCCAGGAGGGGGGACCAGGTGTGATCGGGGCGCGCGTGTGATTCGGGCGGGCTTGGGTTGGTCGATTTCGCGCGCGGCGGGGTGCTTTCCTTTTCTGGCTGTCTGGTCGCGCGCGCGGGCGGCTCCTTCCTTTTCTGGAAGAGCGCCCGGGGCTGTGATCGGGCGCCCGTGCCCCCACGAGCCATGTCCCTACAAAAAAGCCTACATGAATTAATAAGAATGAAACAACAAGGGGTGACTTCCTGTTTCAGAGCCTGAAAGAAAAATGATTCAATGATTTGCGGATGAATTGCTTTCATACAGTTGTGAAAGGAGGGACAATTAATGTTAAATTGATTTCGTGGGGAATTTTTGGCAGCTTCAAAGGTGAGACAGGGAGACCACTTTCTCCTTTCCTGTTCAATATTGCTGCAAACTGCTTACAAAGGATGGTGCAACTAGCTCAGAGTAGTGGACAGATTGTTGGGCTGGTCCCACATTTGATTAACAAAGGAGCTGGAAATCTGAAGAATGCAGATGATGCTATTCTGTTTATACAAGATGATGTTGACAATGGAAAAAAATAATCTGAAACTGCTCCTATACCTGTTTGAAAAAATGTCTGGCTTGAACGCCAATTTTCAAAAAAGTGAGGTATTGATGGTATTGCGTGATGACGAAAGAGACAAATGTATGTTGATCTCTTAAATTGCCAACCTGGATCCTGGCCTATCAAATACTCCCTCCATTCCAAAATATAAGTATTTTTAAAGATTCCAACAAGTGACTACATACGGAGCAAAATGAGTGAATCTACACTCTAAAATATGTCTACATATATCCGTATGTTGTAGTCCATTTGAAATGTCTAAAAAGATTATATTTAGGAACAGAGGAAGTATATGGGTTCCCTGTGTGTGAATGTGTGATAGTAGGCTACATGTAGCTGAGGAAAAATATATACAATAGATTGGACGACAAGGAAGCATAGGACTCTATCCCTTGGTAGTAGAGTGAAAATAATAAATGCTTGCCTGACTAGTATGCTACTTCCTCTGTTCGGAATTACTTGTCGCAGAAATGGATGTATCTAGACGTATTTTAGTTCTAGATACATCCATATCCAAGACAAGTAATTCCGAACGGAGGGAGTAGTATACTATTTCTCTATGTACATGTTCTCTAAAACAAATATATGAAGAATGGAGAAAGCTATAAGGAAGTTTTTTGCCAGTTGAGTAGTAAAAAAAGGAGATACTACATGGTGAGATCGTATATGATATGTAGGCCCAAGAGGAAAGAGGGTATGACATAAGAAACCTTGAAAGATTTAATATTAGCCTTTTATGCAAATGGTGGTGGAATCTAGTGAGCAAAAAGGGATGTGGTAAGAGATAGTTAAGAAAAAAAGAATGACATCAATGTGGATTAAAAATATGGTTAGAGATTCTCCATGTTGAGCCAATATGTTGATAGTTAAGCAGTTGCATGCTAGAGGAAGAGGTGTAACTTTGAGGAGTGTCCAGCAAACTGATTTTCGGTGTTATGCCTGGTATGATAATACGCCTCTGAGATCAGTCTCGTGAGCTCTTCTTGATTAACGATGAAAATGGAAAAAACATGAAACAGATGACTGATAGTGGGTGAAGTTTTACTTTCAGAACATGGCTAAGAGTGAGTAGATGATCCAATTGCATAGGTTGAGGATCATGCTACAAAATGTCAACCTGACTAGTGGTGATGATTATCCTTGGTGGATCTGGAACAAAAATGACAAATTCACTGTCAAAACCATGTACAATCATCTGTTTGATGCTTGTCCCGACATATCCTTTAAACACCCTGCCCGTGGAAAGCTAGAATCCCACTAATAGTTAAAATTTGCCCATGCCTAGAACTTGAGAGAATCCGCTACTTTTCTTTTGTTGTTTTGCTATGAAATATGTTTGGGGTGTGATATGCAAAGCATTGGTGCTAGGAACAAACCTGGCTGCTTCTCGCAATACTTCTGGTGGATCCCCATCTTCTTACCTAGAAGTAGACAAGTAAAAAGTGTGGGTTTGGTTGTTATATGTTCGACTATCTAAACTACACAATAGAGCATGCTTTGATAAGAAGCTGGTTCAATCTCCTTTGGAGTTCATATGTTATGCTTCCTCATTTATGCAATATTGGGCAGGTTTACAAAACAAAGGTGATCACGCGACGCTGGAACAGGGCTCACACGGGGCCGCAATAATGGGAGTCATAAATGGTCTTGGGGACCTAACAAATGACATATGAATGAAAAAAGAAATAGATTAAATGGAGCTGAAATAGAAAATATCCCCAGATGAACCCTACCCAACCCTGGCAATTGAAACAGATCAACTCACCTCGCTACACAAAGAATCAAGGTCAAATCCTTTGAAAGAGTCAGCCCCATCTCCCAATGACACCAATGCGGTGGCGGCACCGGCGGTGGTCAATCCAGGGTGACGACGATGGCGGGAGAAAGTGTGGAGAAGCTAAATGGGAAATGTAAGAGCGTGGAGGAAGCGGATCTAAGGGCGTGCGTTGCTGGACTTTACATAGGTATTCCTCTTCACAACCCTATAATTTTAAAGACTGATTGTGCGTTTGTACGTAGGGATGGCACCCGTCGGATTTGGGTACAGGTGGAGCCACCCCATACCCTTACCCGTAGCCCCAAACCTTACCCATCACCTGTATCCATACCCGTCAGCGGGTACAATTTTTTCCCATGCTCGTCACCTGTCAGGGTAAATGGGTATCCGCAGGTAAAATTACCCATATTTGCAACACATCAATTTGAGCATTACATAGTCACAAACAACTTATAATGATAAAAATTTATAAAGAACAACACTTCATTTGGATTTACACACAAGAACAACACTTCATTCGAACAATTGCACTCTAAAGCAATTGGATTTACACACAAGAATCCCTACAGAAATGTTCATCTGATAAATAACGCTGCTATTTTTTAGTATTTCTGAAGCTAAACGAACAACTCGTCACTCTTGCTGCAGCAAAAGAATTCACGGTTCAGATAATCACTTTACACACGGAGTGCTCATAGCCGTATCTATGTGCAAAATAATGAATTATCAGAAAGAGGTGGATGCTGTGGTAACAATCGCTGTACACACATAGTGCTCGTCACTATTTTGCTGCAGCAATAACCATGACATGATCCCTCTTTCTGAAACCTCATGGTTCAGCTAAGACTTAAGAAGCTCGCAATGACACAGAGAAAATCGTATTCATCACATCATCTATATACACCACATCTACTCAGAAATCAATGCTCATCTACATGAATGCATCACATAATCTATGTACAAAAATATCTCCAAACTGTAAGATCAGTGCTCATAATCATAAAATCATAAAGAAATCGATACTCGCCTAGCCAAAACAGCCTTGCTCCTGTTCTTGCGCTTTGCGGCAGCAGATCGACCATTGCTAAGCAGGCTAGGGCGTCCCTGCTTCACGGACGTCTTGGACATAGTGCTGCGATGGTGTTGCACCTGGAGCTTGAGGTGGAAGACCTCGAGGTCGGCCGGGGAGTTGTCTCTTTCCCGGCGCGCGAAGACGGAAGGCACCATAAGACGATACGGTTGGGCTTGGGCTCGGGTTTGGCGTGTTGTGCTCCTGGTTGTGGACCTGTGGTGGTCGCCGAGCTGCAGCTCCTCGCGGTTCCCATCCACGCGCGAGCTATCATCATCGTCCGCTGGGTCTATGGTGGTGGCGCGAGGCAACAAGCGGCTGGAGGCGATGGCGCTAGCGGCCGGCAGTGAGAGCCGAGAGCCCGAGAAGATGAGATCGATCTATTCTGCTGGGTTGGTTGATCTGAAGAAGGAAGCTCTTAGCTTATTTAAGCTGATTAATAACTTTCAATTGGCTAAGATTAGTCGGTCGGCGAATGTGGTGGCTCATTTCATAGCAAAGTTTAGTTTTGACAATAGATCCGATGGTATTCTTATTAATGATGTTCCGCCCTGTGTGGTGAATTTTGTATCGAATGATTGTAAGTTTACTGGTTGATTAATTAATATAAGGTGATGTTAAAAAAAGGGAAATGTAAGAGAAAAGAGGATGCCCTGTCGACTGCCTCCCCGCGCCGGCTGTTGTAGTCAAGGTAGGCCCAAGCAGTCAGAATTGCTATTAAACCGAGCAAAAAGCCGAACCAGTGCTACGTGTATGTGCATACGAGCTCCAAAAATGATGGTTTTGCGTCGTTTTAATCATGGATGATAGTACTATGTGTTAGCCTAGCTCCAAACGTGGTGGTTTTGCGTAATTTACTTCACCTGCCACGCCTGTAGGCGGTTGCAAGCTGGCTTCAATGAAATGAAGTTGTTATCGCATAAGTACAAAGTATGAGCGGGACGCCCTAGTCAAGTGAACGTCAATGCATACAATTTTCCTACACAACCACTATCCACTCTTGGTTTTCTATGAGCAACGGTCCAAAAATATAGATTTAAATTTGGAGCAGGCACCAAGGTCTGGACAGAGACCTGAAAAGTCTTCCGAGGGGTGGACGTTGTGTCCCAACCAACAGAGTCGCGCGCGATCGCGAGGTACATCCTGCGCAAGTATAGGACGCCGGGGTCGCCGAACCTGCTGGGAGAGAACGGCGGCGCCAAGGGGGCGGCAATGGTGGACGTGTGGACGGAGGTGGAAGCGGAGCAGTACCACCCGGCCATCTCGCCCGTGGTGTTCGAGTGCATCATCTTCCCCGTCATGCGCGGCGCCGCCACGGACCAGAAGGTCGTCGACGAGAGCCTGGAGCGGCTGAGGGGGGTGCTGGGGACGTACGAGGAGCGGCTGTCCGAGAGCAGGTACCTGGCCGGGGACTCCTTCAGCTTCGCGGACCTCAACCACTTCCCCTTCACCTTCTACTTCATGGCCACCCCGTACGCGGCCCTCTTCGACGAGTACCCCAGGGTGAAGGCCTGGTGGGAGGACCTCATGGCCAGACCTTCGGTCAAGAGGGTCTGCGCCAATATGCCCACCAAGTTCTAGTTCCATCACGTTGTGTCATTGTGTGTGTGTCGGAGTGAATTTGCTGTGGAATAAACGAACGAATGAATGTTATGTATTGATCATGCCGAATAGGTTTTGTTTTGGTAAACTTCTTCTGGGCAAGCACACAGAGTTGTGGAGCATGTTGTCATGATTGTGATTCTATGTCTGAATATATGTCTGAATATGTTAAGAGACTAGATCATTGATGGCGTGCGTTGCCGCGCCTGTCTATTTGTACAATGAAATGATAGAAATTTTGGTAAATACATGGCCATATGAAATAATTGAACTTGCCTAAACATAACCATACATTAGTTGGTAGTACAAGGAAATCTTATATAAATATATATACATCCACTCGGTAAAAGCAAGGTCACATATAAATTGACTAGGTATAACAGTATACACAACAATTTAGATAGTAAATACAACTAATCGGTATAGATAATAGGCAATAAGAAATAGATTGTTTTCATGGTGCATAAATGAAATCTTCAAATGCCTCTACCGAAGAGCCACCATGTTCGGAAACAAAAAAGAATTATGTCAGCCTAATGCACCTGGCTATTTCTTGTGAAGGGCACACATTCATAGGACAACAGTCCTAACAAGGATTAAATTAGTTGCAATACCAAATAATGATATACTAAATACTACTCCCTCCATCTTATAATGTAAGACGTTTTTTTGACACTATATTCATTATGGGACGGAGGGAGTACCATACAAGCAGCATCGGGGATATGTTGTAATCATATTGTTCTTTTTTGTTTGCTTGTTTTGTTAAAGAGCAACCAGGCTGAAAGATATATGTAAGAAAGGGACTGGGATCAGGTGACTTGCCCACTGGCAGTCACGCCGTAACATGCGGCTATCAATCCAACGTCCATTCAATATCCAATGAAAGGGATTGATCCATGAGAAACCAGCCAACAGTTGGCAATTTTTACGCGCACAATTGTAATTTTACGTGTACATGCAACAAGCTACTGTATGCACTAAGTGCTCTCCACGGTACAAATACATTTAGAATAATTACTAGTACTCACTCCGTCCCAAAATTCTTGTCTTAAATTAGTCTAGATAAGAATGTATCTAATACTAAAACATGACTTGATACATCCGTATTTAGACAAATATAAGACAAGAATTTTGAAATGAAGGGAGTAGTAATTAAGAATAAATTTTAATAGCAACAACTAGACTAAACGTACACATGCCCTATGATTAACAAGTTCTATATATTATATTGCAAAGTTTTTTATACTATATTTAAACCGGTTCATTTTTAACAAGTTTAATTATTAAAAAACTAAACTAAAACTAAACGAGGTACCAGACAGTGACCTCGTTCGCATGAACGTCGTGGTTGGTAGCACATTGGTCGCTGTTCGCGCCGTCGCTATCACCGTCGGAGGGCGGCGGCGGCACCGCGCAGATGTCTCCGCGGTGGTCCGGGACCGGCCCTCTGCCCAGGCTAGCGCGAGGTCCGGTCCGACACCATCCACTCTGACATGATGTCTTACGCCGTGCCGAACGTGGTCCGGCACTCGTGTTCATGTTGAACGCCCCGGGAGGGTGGCTCCGCCTTCACCTCCTCGACGCGACCAATTCCGACAACGTGGTACCGCAGTGGTGACACCAATTCCTGCTTGACGTAGCTGAGAGGCAACGATAGTGACTCCCACTTGACGAAATGGAGAGGCAGCGACGGCGGCCGTAATAGGGTTCTCGGTCACATGCCTTAAATAGCGGGGCAAGCGGGCCAACACCGCTTCACTGCAGCGCAACACCTAAAGTAGGGTTCTTGGTCACGTCGGTCTGACCGGCATCCATGTCGTCGAGGGGTGTCCGCTCTGGAGCGGGAAGATTGGCATGAATGCGCAGCTATCGTTGGAGACCCATATTTTTGTACTTCTTGTATGAATTTGCACGACGACAGCTGGCTATCCGTCTGGTACCTCGCTTAGTTTTTGTTTATATTTTTTAAAAATAGTTGAACTTCTTAAAAATCATCTTATTTAAATGTAACATATAAAACTTGTTAAAAACAGCCTCCCTCCCTGCTGCGCAGCACGAGCGCCTCCTCCACTACCTCGGCGATGATGGCGGCGACTCCGAGTCGCGCAGCACGGTGGTCGACGGGGTGGTAGTGGAGCAAGCGCGGGGATACTGGTGCAACGTGAAATGTCGGACTAGTTAAAAATTGCCCCTATTTGAATGTAATATAAAAAACTTTGCAATATATTCCCTCCGCCTGAAAATACTTGTCGGGGAAATGGATTTATCTAGACGCATTTTAGTTCTAGACACGTCCACTTTTATCCATTTCCGTGACAAGTAATTCCGGACGGAGAAAGTAATATATAGAACTCGTTAAAAATAGGGCATTCGTCCATTCAGTCTAGCTTTGCTATTTACTACTAGTAATTATTCTAAATGTATTTGCAATGTGAAGATCACTTAGTGCATAGCTTGTTGCATGTACATAAAACTACAAGTATGGGCGTCTCTATGCTAAAAACTGCTAAGTGCTGGCTTGTTTTCCCTTAAATCAATCCCCTCCATTGAATGCAAAATCAACGCTGGATTGGCGGCCGCATGTTACGGCGTGACTGCCAGTGGGCAAGTCACCTGATCCCAGTCCGTAAGAAAGTGGCAGACCAGCAATTCCATTTATACATGAAAAAGGCTTACATTTATACATCGTGAGCTTCAAGGAGGGCAGAGCAGTTTCCAGTAAAGGAGGGCCATGATTGCTAGCTTGAAGGAGAGAAGAGCGGTTTCAAGTAGGCGAGGCCTCCTGAATCTGGCACGCGCTGGATTGGATTGCCTCGACCCGGATTCCGCTCCTCGGTCGCTGGGATCGACTGGATGGACTCGATTCCATCCCTCACCCCGTCTTCAATGGATGGAACCGGCTGCTCCTCTCCGGTTGCTGGGAAGGCTCGATCAGGATTGGGCGAGTGTATAAATCGGACTGGAATTGATGCGGTCTCGATCCCATCCCTCGCCCCGTCTTCAATGGATGGCCGCACCGGCTGCTCCTCTCCTCCGGTCGCTGGGAGAGAACGGCGGAGCCGAGGAGGCGGCGATGGTGGACGTGTGGATGGAGGTGGGGGCGCAGCAGGGGGCTTTGCACGAGTACAAACCTCCGCCACGTATAACTGATGTTCAAAAACTGACTGATTCAGCGATTTATTGGCCGATTAATCGCTACTCGGGGTGACTGCTAAGATTAGGCCATATCTTCACCATTAATCTGTTGGGGTGATTTATCACAAATATTTCGATTAATGTGGTTGCACGAAACCTCAAAATGGGCCTCCCTTCCCCCGCACATCACATAATGTTGTCCCTCGATAGGGTTTGGGGTCCTGTCCACACTGTCGCCATGTTCCTGATCCACACTGACATCGCCATGTTCCCGATCCACACTGCCGCCGCCACCCTGCTTGCCTCCAGCGGCCGGACCTAGCACCACCGAAGCTGCCCGCCCTCTGGATCTTCTCCTCCTCTTCCCTAATAGCCCAACCACCTTCGCCTTCGTCATCTCTCCATCTCTTCGCAGCAGGCTGAGTAGAAACGCCTAAGCTGATGTTTGGTTGTACGACTGTTCTATGTAGATGCAAAGTGTTGTTGTCTGGTAACATACAAGACCTGTGGTCTCGTAACATCTTGTTCGAGTGGTGAGGTTGTCAACACACGCAGAGAGTCTTATACGCAGAACATTACCATAGGTGCATGATAGTCATACGTGGTTAAAACCATAGTCATACACGACAGTCTTAAATGTGGTACATTAACAATCAAACGAAAAAGTAAACTAGCACGCAACATCAAAGATAACACCCTAACGGTCCAGGGCAAACGCTTCCTCGTGCGGCTTGCACTTGACCATCACCTCTATGTCATTGGTGTCAAAGACGATCACCTTGAAGACGCCAACAGTCACCACCTTGAAGGTCATGAGGTACCTGATCTTCAGGCCATGATCTACGACGGAGTGGGGCACCCTTTATCAATGGTGAACCTATCGTTAATGGATCATAATGTGATTTTATAAGTAGGCCGATGTTCATCATCATCACGACCTCCAGTGGGCATTGGCAGGCACTTGATACGTCTCCGACGTATCTATAATTTATGAAGTATTCATGCCATGTTTGCAACAATTTTATATGGTTTGGGTGTTATTTTATATGATTTAAATGGAACTAAACTGGACTGACACAGTTTTCAGCAGAACTACCTTGGTGTTGTTTTTTGCCCAGAAATCAAAGTTCTCCAAATGCAGCGAAACTTTTTGATGATTTTTTTGAAAGAAAAGAGGCATTAGAGGCTCCGTGGGAGGGCCAGAAGAGCCACAAGGGGCCCACTAGGCACCAGGGCGCGCCAGGTGGGGCTGGCTCGCCATGGTACCTAGTGGGCCCCTCGTGGCCCATCTTCGCATGATTCTAACGCTGAAAAATCCTATATATATAAACCCCCAGAAATAACCCTAGATTAGAAGTTCTGCCGCCGCAAGCCTCTGTAGCCACAAGAAACCAATCTGGACCCTGTTCCAGCACCCTGCTGAAGGAAATATGCCCTAGAGGCAATAATAAAGTTGTTATTTATATTTCCTTATATCATGATAAATGTTTATTATTCATGCTAGAATTGTATTAACCGGAAATTTAGTACATGTGTGAATACATAGACAAACAGAGTGTCCCTAGTATGCCTCTACTTGACTAGCTCGTTAATCAAAGATGGTTAAGTTTCCTAGCCATAGACATGTGTTGTCATTTGTTGATCGGGATCACATCATTAGAGAATGATGTGATGGACAAGACCCATCCATTAGCTTAGCACTATGATCGTTTAGTTTATTACTATTGCTTTCTTCATGACTTATACATGTTCCTATGACTATGAGATTATGAAACTCCCGGATACCAGAGGAACACTTAGTGTGCTATCAAACGTCAAATGTAACTGGGTGATTATAAAGA